GCTATAGAAAGTAAAACTTTTCTGTGGATTTCCTATTTGAAATGTTACAGAGCTTTGTTAATTTGCTCCTTATAGCACGTATAACTGTGTTGCATGTACATATTGAATATTAATCGGAAATGATTCTGTCAAGAACAAATCCAGGTCATATTTTGACCCAAAATCAAAAGAATGAATTAAGTCAGAGCGATTATTGTTGTACTGCCTTAGATTATTTTGTTATAAATCAGCATAGATGCTTGTACTATAGGTTTTTACATTTTATTAATTACTTTTGGGTTATCGTAATGAGAAATAGTCATGAAAGTAGTGTCACTCACAATGAAAAAAAAAAAGATCCAGACAATCAAAGGAAAAAGTTAAAGAATATGTTCACAATGAGTAACTTTGTGTTTTCTAGGCCAGTTTATACAGATGGACCCTCACAGATCAGCAAAGTTCTGCTCTACAGGACAGTGAATTTTGTTTTGGCCCCAAACTGACTCATTGTAAAGTGGCCCTAGTTTGAAGCCCAGCTGGAATGTTTAATTTTAGTGAATCCAGATCCTTACGTATGCACATGTAATTATCTTTTCCAGCTTTCATCTCAAGCCTGTGTTTAGTGGATGGTCTGTTTAAAGTTATTCTCACACACTATGCTGTATTTTGGCAAAGAATTGCCCACTTAAACAGGAAGTGGCCATTTGACTGACATTTTATGCAACCAGTCCGTTAACTTTTTCCCCACAATGTATATTTATTGGTGAATTTAAATAGAACAATAATTCACCAGTATGCAACCAAGTGTTAGCCATTTGTTGCAAAAAACAAACAAAACTACAACAATAGGGCAAATGCATTCTGATCTGCTTTTGTTCATAATGAAGTGTTAGTTTAGATGTTTTTTGTTAGATTTTTTTAAATGTCTATTGCATGCATTTTTATTTAATTTTTATTAATTTTATTTTATTTTAATTCCAGTAATTTAATTTCAGGAAAAGTAGTTTTGTTCACTGGTACTTTTTGTTTTCATAGAGATTTTCATTAATGATGACGTTAGTGTCTGCAACTTAATATAGCTATATGGGTCAAAGATGAGACGTCCCATTTTGGTGCCTGCATCAAATAGAATTTACAAAAGTGACTTTATATACATAGAAAGCTTATTAAATGCAAGTAAAGTGATTTTAATGTTTCAAATAACTTTTGTGAAAATATGGGTGAAATAATGTTCAATTGTCATTCAGTATAACAGATATATTTATGTAAAAATTAAACAACATGCTTATTCTGATCTGTACTTGTTAAAATACATAAAATAATTATTGATCATACTAAATTTGATTATAATTTAATTGAATATATTTTAAAAACTTCCCGCTGACAAATTGAAATTGGTAAAAAAACAGTAGTTTTAGTGGCAAAGTGGGTTTATTCTGTAAATCATGGTAAAAATCTATGATAGTCATTACTTTTTGCTTGGGAAAAAATCTTATGAAGCAGGACACATTCTAATATTAATCTTTTTTCATCTTTGACTCGTATCACCCGAGAACACGGCACCCTGAACAGCATACAGAGTTACCTAAATTCAGTTACCAAAACTTGTATGTCAATTGTAAGTCGCTTTGGATAAAAGCGTCTGCTAAATGAATAAATGTAAATGTAAATTTATTTGGTTTTCGGGAAAATGAAAACTTAAATATGTATATATTTGACCGCATTTATCTTTAGTTCTATAGCTTCTGTGTCTCTCTTGAAAACGTGTTATTTGCTGGTTCGTGGTGATCATTATATCCAGTAATAGAATCGAACAGCGATCTGTTTGTTCGGTTGGGCTCCAGATCCCAGGGAATGTGAAGAGCTGCTGTCTGACCCTGGGCTCTGATCCAGCGCCGTAGAGAGCTTAAGCCAGGGGTGGGGAACGTTGATCCTGGAGGGCCGGTGTCCCTGCAGAGTTTAGCTCCAACCCTAATCAAAAACACCTGAACCAGCTAATCAAGGTCTTCGGGATGAATTTAGGTTTTTTTTTTTTCTAGGGTTTTTCAGGGTTGGAACTAAACTCTGCAGGAGAGTGGCCCTCCAGGATCAACGTTCCCCACCCCTGGCTTAAGCGGAGGAGAAACTGGCTGGTCAAGGGCTTGATGCTTATAGTTATGAATAAAAAATGAGTCAGTGGTCTACTGCAACTTATTTATAACAGGCCTCTGTTATTTATTCAGTCCATTTGCCAAATATGTTGAAGGCGAGCCTGCTGTGTAAACATCCCTGTTTGGTTTCCCATCAGCGCATCTCAAGAATTGAATGTAGGAGAGAGCCAAGTGCTATCCCCAATAATCATGCACCGAAATGAACATTTTACCTGAAAACTGAAACTGATAATAAAGTTTTACATTTATTAATTTTTGGTAATTAAATTTGGGTAATTGAACTCAGTAAGCCAGTTGTAGTAAAGTTCTTCGACAGTGAGGCCTCCCAGTATTTACACAAGTAAATATAAGTCACACACACTGAGTGCAAACATTAGTGTAATCACTTTTCTGTCATTCTTTCATTAAATATTTCTAGGTTCGATTTTCCTTCAAAATAACATAATATAGCAGAACACTGTTTGTTCTACACAACAGACTAAAACAGTATAGTTTTTCCGTAGTCCTGGTTAGCTTCCATAAAAAAATGCTGGTGCATGCCATTGCAAAAATTACAGCTGAAATGTTGAAGTTCCTGTCTGCTTTTGATGTCCATAATATCTCATGTATCTGTTTTTCTAATTTTGTCTCTATGATTAATAGGGCTGAGGCTGCAGGGAAGTGTTAAAAAAAAAAAAAAACCTTGACTTTTTATGATTTTCTGGTATCTTACTAAATTTGTAATATTTGAGGATATAAATTGGTAGGTTAGAGATTTGAACCCAATTTAAAAGTGGCTGAGCAATTGCAAGTTTCTAGATCAGTGAATCTCTAGTGTGTTTTATGAAGAAGCTGTGAAATATTAACATGACAATGCATGAAACAGGCCATGGTTTCGTCTTGTTTTTAGTTTATTGCCCTCTTGCACTCTTTGGTGCTGTCTTGTTCACAAACTGTCGCGTCAGCAAGGTGAGTTCATCTTCAGTGTAATGGCTCTTTTCCTGTGCACAGTATTACCAGTGCTGTTTACCATAATTGATCTGTTTAACAGAGATGCATTAGCTTGCAGTGGTAGGGTGCGTGTGACTGAAGAACACAGAGTTAACATATTAGATGCTGTCAAGCTTCAAATACTTTAAGCTGGTTCTGTGTACTTGTAAGTCTTCACAGTTGTAAGTCACTCAAGAGGAAATTAGCACACTGCTGCAGGAAACCGCTGATTCAACACGGGCGAGAAACCCATTTCCTGTTTATAGTCTCAACTATTTTAGCATTCATTCCCTGGCATGAGAAGTGTGTTAGATGTCCTGAGGTAACAACATACAGCGCCCATATGTTGTTTTGCAGTGATTCTTCTTGGCAGATAAGAAGCTTTCTGATCTGAGGATATTGCTAGAGTGAGATAGCCTTCGCCCCTGGGTCACACAGGCTCTTTTCACTCGCCTTTTTTGTATTAATTGGCATCTAAGTTTCCATGAACAACTTTTAACATCCATTGGAACCATTTCCATTCGACAAAATGTTCTTTACAGTCGAAAAGGGTTCTTTAGACTATTAAAATGATCTTCTAATGGTTATTTCTTTAAGAACTATGTAATGAAATGTTCTTTGGAGAACCCATAATGGTTCTTGCATCCTGCATAATGGAATTGCTGAGAAAACTCCTTTATGGAACCTTTATAAAAGTGAACACTATAAAGTATCTGTGGGTTTTCCTTGGATCATATTACGATCAAACTGATTTGAAAGAACTGTTGTTATCGTAAACATCCAACAACACAACAATTTCCTCACCTATTATGAAACACTGGAATCTGCAACCTGATATGGATTAGAACTTGCATTTGTGCGTAAATGCATATAGAAAGCATGCAATGCAATACAGTGCTGCTGGTGAATATGAATGACTGTTTGACTGAGACAGTCGTTGTTGTCCTGCTGGAGAAGGGGTTTATGGGAGCATTTACAGTGCATTACTCCAGAGGGCTGAAGCAGCATTCACTGACAAGACTTAAGACTCTGGTTAAAGACTTTGTATAATCCATTTAGTTAAGTCAATGGACAAGACCCTCGGTAATATGACGCACAGACCTCTGGGAACACAGATTCCCTCTAGGTGCCGAACCCTGGTGGCTTATTTACATTGTCTGTGGGTAGTTGAGAAGTAACATGAACATGTTGAGAGACTTTTTTTCTCAACATCTAGTTTTTATGTTAAAATGTATGAATGAATGATGCATTTATATAGCGCTTTATTGTGTATTGTTGTACACCCAAAGCGCTTTACAATCATATGAGGGGGTCTCTCCTCAACCACCACCGTGGTGTATATGAAGGTGTATATTTTTAGATGCTGTGACTTCTTGCAGTTTATTTATATAGTCATGCAGTAAAGTATTACAGTCTATCTATTGTAATTCATCCCGTATTTTTTTCTTTCTTTCTTAAACACAAAAAGAGAATCTTGGTCAAAAAGTTTGAGCTGTTCTCTATGTAATGAAAACTGATCATTTTTACTGCAAAGCTCCAAGATGTTTTTCTCATATTTGACATGCAATAATCAGTGCTGTTTGCCGTAAACACGTGTAAGAGTAATACAAATTGTCAACTAGTTCTTACACAAAACATTGTATGATTTCTAAAGAATTGAAAGCATATGGATTACTTTTTGGAGCTTGGCGGTAAAAATCACCATCTAGTTTTGTTGTATGCAAATTGCAGCTTGGACATTCTGCCTAACATATCATCTCGAAAGAAAAAAAATACTCTGAGAGTGAGTGAAATATCCCTTTAATTATGCAATGCATTTTTATACACTAGTCATCATATCCTGTGTTCAGCACATTTAACAGGGACTCTGAGGTGTTCAGAGATGTATGTACCTTAACTGAGCCTACAGATTCGGCCGAGCAGGAGTGGAGTGTTACTGCCAGCATGAGAGCGGATCGGCTGTCATCCAGTTGGAGTTTCTTGTCAATGAAGTGAGTTCTGCCCTGACCATCTGTATAGACATTTCCTCTTTCTTACTTTCTCCAGGTCTTATCCCTCTCCCTGACATTGCCTGTAGCTTTTGGTTGAATATTTAGTCTTTTAATCTGTTCAAAATGTAATGAATTACAAATGTAGAGCTCTTTAGTCCTTTATTGTGTTCTTGTTTGTTTGGTCCATAGGGAGCGCTGGTTAGTACTTTGGCAGATGACAGTATTCATTTGTGGAATCTGAGGCAAAAACTTCCAGCCATCCTTCATTCTCTTAAATTTAATCGGGAGAGGTAAGCATCCTGTATACAAATAAACCATGCGCAACTCTTGTGATATGACTTGGTGTGCTTATCGATGCGCTAATTATATATATATATATATATATATCATCTGCTCTGAGAATGGGTCGCTTTAACATGCATTTGGGAACACATCAATCTCTTACTTGATGAGAGGCACTTATCAACAAAAGAGAAGCTTTTGTGCTTTTGTGGCAGCACAGGCAAACACCACTCATATTTTCTTCAGAAAATACAAAAGTTGGCCTTACCTGGTTTTTGTCTTTTATAAATGGCAATGTACTTGCAAAGGCTTGAAATGAATGTTTGTTCAGAGACAAGAGGGCAGGACAATGTTCTCAAGTGTCCTCAGTTGCATGTAGTCTTGATTGGTGTCCCATTCAGAAGACACACAATGGCAGTAATGCACAGTCGTCCACAGTAATACCAGATGATTTATCAACCGTGACTCATTCATTTTGCCAGATTTCACTCTGCTGTTATTGCCATTTCCTCCTTAATGTGTCACGAGGCACAGATCAGTCAAATGTTCGCCATCATGTGAGAGAATCACGGGATATTTCACTTTGATTAAGGTCAGCTCTCTCCTTGTCTTTGGCAGGATCACGTTTTGCCATTTGCCGTTTCAGAGTAAATGGCTGTACGTTGGCACGGAAAGAGGGAACATTCACATTGTCAATGTGGAGTCCTTCACCCTCTCAGGCTATGTGATCATGTGGAACAAAGCCATCGAACTGTGAGTGTCTAGACGACACCGTGAACTTCAGTGATTCTCATGTGTTTTCTTCTACTGTTGGGTTTGGGAGATTTTAATTAAAGGTCTTATGTACAAATATTTACTCAAGGTCATCATGCATGATCTCTGTATACCACCTCAAAATATTTTCCTTGTAAACTGTCACCTCTCTTCAACAGTTCTTCAAAGACTCACCCTGGACCTGTAGTTCATATCAGCGATAACCCTATGGACGAAGGCAAAGTACGAAACCTTGACCCTTTGGGATTAAGTATATTCCCACAGAACCCTTTTTGATTGCTCAGCTGTCAAATTGCATCATTTCAGAAAAGTTGTGTCTCTTTTTTGCAGCTTTTAATTGGTTTTGAGTGTGGCATAGTTGTGCTGTGGGACTTGAAATCGAAGAAGGCTGACTATCGGTACAACTATGACGAGGTGAGACTGTTACTGTAGGATGTGCAGGTGGGGGACAAACTTAGAGCATTGTTTAAAGCGAAACGACTTACTCGCGTTCTGTAAGGAAGGAAGGAAGGTCTGCAGTAGAGATGGGATGTACTCCAAGTACTGTCAGATGTGACAGTAGTGACTGATCACAAAAACACAACAGTTATTGCATGCTATTCTATTTAATGCAGAAAACTTTACTTTAAAATATATTAACAGCTGTACAATTCCAGCCATCCTTCCTGTTACAGTTGTAATGTAAAATAATTCTTCTTAAATGCTCTTTTTTTATTTTACATTTTGGTTTTATTTTAGTAGTAATAATAATCATCATTATTTTATGGGCATATTGATATATAATCAAAGATTTTGAAATAGTATTTTTTTTTTTTTGTGAAGTGGACTCCAGTAACCTTTGTGTTATTTACAACATCGAAAAAATATTTTTTACCATGCATATGGTGACATGTGGCTAAATGGACAGATCACTTGATATATCTGTTGAGTACTCAAATAAACAACTCTAGTCTACGGGAAGTAACTTTTTTCAGAAGCGTTTGTGTTATCAATGAGGAACGGAACTAAGATGTTTGTTATGTTTATTATTGTTGACTCATATATGCTGTCACAACCCATGAACCATAGTTTGCCTGACCTGGTTTCTCTTGTGGTTGATTACTCATCCTTTGTTTGGCCTGTAGGCGATCCACTCTGTGGCTTGGCATCACGAGGGGAAACAGTTTGTTTGCAGTCACTCAGATGGCACGCTTACCACATGGAATATACGCGCTACTGCCAAGCCTGCCCAGATTATTACGCCGCATGGTAAGCTTCTGCCCAAACAAACTCCCTTCCAAGTTCCTCAGGTTGAGCGCTTCAGGGAGCACAGAATAAATATTACAAGACCGTAGAGGTGAAGTGTGTCATTTGAGTTCCGTTAGCAGCACCAATGAAATAAACCAATGATTGTTTCCAAACAGGTTTCTGAAGCAGATCAATGTTTTTAAAGAGTCACTATACTTTCAGGCAATCAGCCTATGAATGACTTACTTATGGATACTTTTCACAGACTGTGATGACACGTTTCAACAGTTATCAATGTTGTAAATCTAACAAAGTTATATATATTTTTAACGCTAACTTAAGCCTCGTACACACCGGTACAATTATCGCGCGAATTAGAAATTAATTTGGTGAGTCACTTTACAAGAGAAGTCTGTGTATATAAATGTCGAAATGTTAATATTTCATTATAACAGTTAATAACAGTGTTACCATATGCAGTTCAATCTAATGTCCCTTCTATATATTTTCTATTCCGCCAGATATTCCTTTGTCCCTTTTTTCTCTTTCTTTTCTTTTTCTTAATTTTGTACTTGTTAGGTGTCCTTCAATTGTTTCTGGGAGTTATGGAGATTTCTTTGTGTTTTTAGATTTTTGACTTATGACTACATATTACCTTGAAAAAAAATATATAGAATTCAAATTCATATAAAATATTTTTTCAAGGTAATATGTAAATTCATTTGTAGAGTCAACCTCTAAAATCATTTCAACACCTAGAATAATTTAAAAAATGAATAATAAGATAAGGCTAATATATTGTAGCATTCTCAGACAAGGATGAGGCGTTTTGATATAAAATGGGTGTTTATTTGGGCTGTTGTCAGCCGCAACCCACGCCGTACACACCCCGACTTCTAAGAGAACCGCCTTGAACCAGCGAGGCACTCTTCCAACCCCCCTTCTCTCGCTCACTCAGGGGGCGGAGCCTCTTTTCATATTCATTTTCTGTCCATATCATTCATTTTAATACTTTTCTGTATCTCACAGTTCAAGATGAGGACAGTCAGTTTTGTTGAAAATGCTAAAATATTAAATGACTTGCATAGGTAATTGTGTTTATGGACAAACTGAAGAAAATGTATGAGAAAAATTACTTGACTCTTTTCTTATGAGCAGAGTACAATTACTTTCATGTCAACTGCCTTTATAAGCCTGACTTAATCATTTTTTTGGCCATTAAATGCATGGAAATCCGTATCTTCATCTGTGAACATGCACATGATTGTATAGATTTGATGACAGTTGTCTTGTGTCTGCAGCTCCTGGAGGTGCGTATGCAGTGTGAGCTGAATGAAGTGGAGTCTCCCGAGGGCGGAGGCGAGCAGGCGTCAGCTGTTTCCACCCCAGGAACCTCATCCAGCCCTCAGACCAGCCTGCCTCAGTCCCACCCCTCCACCAGCAGCAACAACTCGTCTGACGGCCTGCGAGATAATGTGCCCTGTCTCAAGTACAGTCTTGTTTGTTTGTCAGATTGTTTTCATCTATTTCAGATTTACTCGTCCCGAAGCAGCATGTAAAAACAACAAAACATAAGCTTCAGACTTTGGTCGCTTCACATGTTAATGAAATGGTCTTTTCTTGTGTAATTTTGACCACATGATTTGGTCTGTGCTTATATTAGCATGTAGTTAATTGTGTCCTGTGTCTTACTTGGCCAGGGTCAGGAGTTCTCCTCTCAAACAGTCTCCGGGTTACCAGGTGGAGCTGCTCATTCAGCTGGTGTGGGTCAGCGGGGAGCCGCCACAACAGATCACCAGCCTGGCCGTCAACTCTGCATATGGCCTGTAAGTCCACGAAACGACAACACTAGTCAAGTCGCCTTTATTTATATAGCGCTTTTAACAATACAGATCAAAGCAGCTTTACAGTATCATATAGGAAAATAGTGTGTCAATGCAAAAGGACAACAGTAAACACTCAATTTTCAGGTAAAGGCAGTTCATCATTGAATTCAGTGATGTCATCGTCCAGCTCAGTTCAGTTTAAATAGTATCTGTGCAATCAAGTCGACGATATCGCTTGAAATAAGTGTCCCCAACTAAGCAAGCCAGAGGCTACAGCGGCAAGGAACCAATGAACCAGGAGAAAAAAAACCTTGGGAGAAACCAGGCTCAGTTGGGGGACCCAGTTCTCCTCCGGCCAGACGAACCAGCAGGTTGATCCATGCTGCAGCAAAGTTAGATTGTGCAGAGGACTCATCTGGTTCCCGTGGTCTTGTCCCGATGGCCGTTTAGGAGACAAGGTCTTCACTGGGGATCTGTCTCTGGGGCTCATCTAGTTTTCCTGGTCTCCACTGAAATTCAAGTAGCTCATTTACCGCATATATGATGTGTTTACTGAGCATTTAAAAACACTTCCTTTCCACAACAGCTGTTCATTATCTTTCAGACAAGTTTTATGTGTCGTGATCCATCATATTAATGCCTAGCAGTCATGCTTGAATAATTGTTCTTTATTACAATAATTAAGAATTTGAACTACTTGAACACTATTGAAATGCACAAATGTTATGAGCCACAATATGCTCTTAAATCTGATTACCATCGCTAAAGATTTTTGAATCAGTCTGTTAACAACTATATACAAACAAATGTCAAATAATCGTAAAATCAACTGTTGCTGAATTTAAAATGTAATATTTTCACGTTTCAGGATGGAGATTTCAGTTTAACATCTGGTGTGTTCTGAAGCCTTGAGTAGAAATTGTGATTTAAATTAATGCTGCGCAAATGTTGTAAAGCAAACTGTTAAAGCTAAGAAATAGCACTTTTTATTTATAGATGCTTAAGTGCAACTTTGTTTTTTGACATAATACCCATACTTTAAATTCTCAAGTAAATCACCGCTGGCAGAAATATTAAGCTGCAAACACTGTTTTCAGCATTGATAATAATAATAAGAAGAAGAAAAAAGCAGTCAGCATATCAGCATATTGATTTCTGAAGGATCATGTGACACTGAAGACTGGAGTGATGATGCTGAAAATTCAGCTTTGCACCACAGGAATAAATTACACATCAAAATATATTACAATAAAATACAGTTATTTTAAATTGTAATAATGTGTCTTAATATTATTGTTTTTTCTGTATTTCTGATCAAATAAATGCTGAATTGGTACAAATCTTAATCATTCCTTACTTTTGACCGGTAGTGTGAATCTGTTGTGTGTTTTACAGAGTTGCTTTTGGCAATGGTAATGGACTTGCCGTGGTTGATTACCTTCAGAAAACTGTGCTTCTGAACGTGAGCACAGCTGAGCTGTATGGCTCAACAGATCCGCACCACAGACAACCACACTCGCCCCGCAAAACCAGACAGCCCTCGGCAGGTGAACAGACATCTAAGAGAAAGCTTCATCCTCTTACTAATAATCATAACCTCTGCATGTTGTCAGTCTGTGTTTCTGTCTGATAATGTAAAGCACATGCTCATCTTGAGCAGTGTCAGTCACCGGACCGTGATGCTCCTGCATCCTTCATACTGCAGGTGGTCGTCTCTGGCCGAGGAACCATCTGCACCGATCTTAGAAAATCATCCGATCCATATGCTCAAAAAGGGGCACCGGTGTTTCTTCTTTTCTGTCCCCTGTCTTTGCTTGTTCTTTTTGTTGTTCACTCATCTGAGTTTCAGTCTTTGAAATACACAGATGCCAACAGACTGAATTTAAGGCCACGTAACATTTTGCGTTATTGTTAGTGATGCACTGATACAAAAAATCTGACCAATTTGCCAGTTTATGTGACCAAATAGCAATTTTAAGAGGTGTTTGAAAAGGCAGTTTATTCATTATTTAATAGTAATCAATCACAATTTTTCATCTGTACTGTTTTGTAAGTTTTTTTTCACAATTCTGAATTTATCTCACAATTGATATTTTTACTCTGAATTGGAGGTTATATCTTGCAATTCTGAGAAAACAGTCTGAATTAGGAGTAAAAAAGGTCTGAATTGTGATAGAAAAAAAATCAGAAGTCACAATTACCTTTTTTATTTTTTTTTAATCATCTGGCGGAAACAAGCTTCCAGTTCTGTTGGAATTGGGTAGTATAATAATCAAAAAAATTTCATTTTTAACTTGCAATAATCATTATCTTGACCCCTAATATTGTGCATTCTTGTGCATTTATTGTCTTTTTTTTTTTTTTTTGACTTCACTTGTTTATTGAAAATAATAAAGGCAGAACAAATGTCCAATCTGCCCTGAATCCAGTCTCTGGACTCTGTCAGTTCAAAGGCCTTCTAGCTGTTCATTTGATTTTGTCTCATTGTTTTGTCTCACCCTTTCAATATTCGTCTCTCTCTGTGGTTTCGTAAAGACACTCTGCATAAGAAGTCTTGCATGTCCGGCCTCTCTAACTTTTATTCTGAATCTGTGAAAAAGCTTCGTTCTTCTTACCTCAGTAAGTCACATGGCACTCATCAAAGGTCTTGTCCTTCTCTTTATATCTGTCTGCATTCTTCTTTTTCTCTTTGTTTAACACTATAGTCTATTTTTGTGTTGATTTATTATTTAAGTGTTACGTGATGTTTATTGCATGAAGTCAGCCAGGCTGTGTGGTTAGACTTGTTTGTTTCAACAGGTCTTTGTGATGGTAATGATGCATCAGCCGCACCAGAGGAGAGATGCAAATCACCAACTTCAGGTAAAGATTCCCTCTTCTTCTTTCTTCTTTCTTCTTTCTTTCTCTCTCAAAATTACTGGTAGAACAATATGTATTGAGAGCATTGATTGATGGTAGTTTATGATGAGTTGATTGACAGACCCTTAAAGGAACAATTCCCCCAAACATGAAGCTTCTGTCATAATTTACTCACTCTTCTGTTGTTCTAAACGTGTATTTAAGGAGGCAGGAACAGAAATCCTTTGTTTTTCATTAATCACCACCCACTTTCATTTTATACTGCCAAGCTCCAAAAATGTGAAATTTAGTAATATGTGTCTGCATTTCAAGTATTCTAGCTCCTTGTATTTAACAAAAGAGAATAAAACAATATTGATACATCATGAGGTTGAGTTCATGATGACAGCATGTTCATTTTGTGTGGACTGTGCCTTTTAAGGTGCAAAGTAATTTCTGCAGCACTAAACTGAACTAAAGGACCCCTGTTGGCATGGTTTGAATAAACTGGAAGTCCCGCCAAACCCATGCAATTCCATTGGTCATGCAGAAATTGCACACTGCAACTTATAGACAGACATATTGACAAACGCTGCAATGCCAGAGCATTGGACGTGAAGCTCTATTATACTTAAAAAATCTTTAGCACAGCTAAAAATTAAAACAATTCTGCAAGCATCATCAGAATCCCAGTCAGGTGTGCTGACTTAAGTGCATTTCATTTACAAGGAATTTGACTTTGATATGCATATAGTTGCCAAAAGTTACATATGACCCCATCGGCTGTGTCGCATTATTATGCAGACTGTGTTGTTGCTATAGGCTCCGGTTCACCATGCAATTCTGATGAAGACAGCAAACAAAAGTTCATTGACAAGGGTACGGTACATTATAAAAACAGCTTTTTTTGTCCTTGGAAATCTTTTGTTTTCTTTGATTGGTTCTATTCGATACATTTTCCAGTGAAGTCCACAAGCAAGCGGATATCCAAGACTTTTGCCAATGACTTTGGTACTGTATAATGTTCATATTACAGCAGTTTGGGTCTCTCAGTTTCTGTGCTAATGGGCACTTGTGCACTAACCAAATGAACTAACCAAACAAATTCAAATGGGTTTGCTTAAGTGCGTAGTAGAGCTGAACTTGAGCTTTGTGTGTCTGCTGCTTGGTGGTTAGGCGTGCCAGTAAATGGTGGACCAGTGAGGTCTTATTTGAGAGCCGTATTTACCACTTTCAAAGTTTTCAACGGTAGTAGGGAATGATTCATAAGTGTATGTTAATATAAAGAAAAAAGTTTTTGTAATCTTTTTTTACAAAATGGTTTGTAAATACTGCAGTGACATTTTAGATTAAAACTTTTATTCTCATCACTTTAGAAATTGTGTCTCTTGAAGGAGTGCTTTTTTCTAACCTTCTTTAACATTACAGGCTTTTACTCCGCTCTGGTGCGTCTCAAGGGTAAAAATACACAGGATGATGAAAATGATATCAGACATTAAACATATTTCTGATTTTGATCAGATCATGTTTTCACACAGATCTCTACTGAACATCTGAAATCATAGACAGGTCGATCACACACAATGACAGACATTTTAGAGAGAAATGAGGCTCCTGGTGTTCTGACTCTTGATCGGTGCTGGTTTCATTGCCACTAATCTCAATGCAATTTTCTGGGCATGATCGAGTTGCTTCTGATTGTAACATACTAGATGAACAAACGTCTCTTTTTAAGGCTGCTGATGGGCTCATGGCTGCTCTTTGGCTTCATTCTACATCATGATCCTCCAGCTGATAAATTTAGTCTCAACCTGCTTATTTCTCTCTTAAACCGGTTGATTAATACTTAAATTCTTATTTAACTTTAGTAACCATTATTTCCCAGATGAATGACTTTGATTATATGTTCAGAACAGTGTTTTCTTTTTTCCAGCTAAGATATCCCGGAAAATTAACATGATTGCTGATCAGAAAGATGGTAAGCGTTTGTTCTCTCACTTTAGTTTCTAGGAGTAGCTGTGCATCTTTTGCAGGGGATCAAAATCTTCCATGCTGACATAAACTGAGCATTACTTTAATCAGTCTACCTATATTATCAGCATAAAGTCTGGTCCAGTTTGCAGCTTATTCTAGCCTAGAACTACCCGATTAAACTGTACAGGTCTGAAAAACAACTAGTCATAGTCGGCGTTTTTATGCAGAGTTTGAATAAATCTGATATGTTACCCTGGACCACAAAGCCAGTCATAAGGGTACATTTTTCGAAATTGAGATTTATACACCATCTGAAAGCTGAATAAATAAGCTTTCCGTTGATGTATGTTTGTTAGGATAGGACAGTATTTGGCCGAAATACAACTATTTGAAAATCTGGAATCTGAGGGTGCAAAAAATATCTAAATTCTGAGAAAATCGCCTTTAAAACTGTCCATATGAAGTTCTTGGCAATGCATATTACTAATCAAAAATTAAGTTTTGATATATTTACGGTAGTGATTCATGGAACATGATCTCTACTTAATATCCTAATGATTTTTGGCATAAAAGAAAAATCGATAATTTTGACTCATACAATGTATTTTTGGCTATTGCTAAAAACATACCCCAGCGTCTTAAGGCTGCTTTTGTGGTTCAGGGTCACATATAGAAGACACTACAATAATAAATAATTTTTTTTGCATGCAACAAATTAGGGGTGTGTGATATAACGGTAGACATGATTAACCAGTAGAAATTTGTCAACTGGCAGAGATTTTGGACTATCGTCTCTATCGCGGTTAAACGCTCACGCGACGTTGCTATGCTATGTGGTCATGAAAACTTATCGTTTGCATGCATTTTTAAGCATTGTGCTTTAAAAATAAGTGAATTTAAGCCGTTGAAACACAATCAGCAGCGAAAGAGAACTCATTTCACTATATGCATGCGCTGTCTGAGAGACTTTCTGAGCACTGTCAGAGAGGCGCACGCACGTCAAGACGGTGCTCATAGAGCACGGGAGTATTGAACTGAGTTATTATTGCCACTTTATAGGGCTTGAATGGTTAAATACACCCTTGTATGTGTCAAAATGGACATCTTTGCAAGTATCCTCTTAATCACAGTAATTTAAGTAAATGCAAACAGCTGTGAGAGAAAACGCGTGTAATAACAGTATATTGGATCCAGGCAGTTGTTAAAGTGACAGCAGTCTAATATTCCTGCTGTCTGTCATTCATGTTAATCAAACAACAAAATAGGGAAAATCTCTAACTGCTCTTGAATAAATCACTTTTATAACTTTAATAAAAAAAAATATGTATTTAATTTACACAGTAAAGAATATGCAGTGTTTTTATGCATTTGATTACCTTATACAATGTATGTAGCATTTCTTATATGTTCTACTGTAGGGTTGTTGTCCTATTGCTTGTAATTAGTTTCCTATTCTTATTTAATCACTGACTGTTTACTTGTCTTCAGTGAGCTTGTTTTTTTGTTTTGTTTTTTTTGACTAGTATAAGTTTTTATATATATATATATA